TCCTGGCCAGCCACTGGAGTTTTCCAGTACCTCTTCAGGTGCTTTCTTATCTTGCACAAGTTTCACAACAGACAGATATGTACTTTCAGCTTCTTCCTCCTTATCAGCTAAATTGAAATGTTCCATAACAGTCTCGTCGTCTTTCTCGGACTTGTTGTCATGAGCTCCAATTCCTGGTCAAACTAGAGAATAAGACGTTCATCTGTAATATAAGGTCTTAGCTTATCCATGTGGTAGATATGCTTGCACATACCCCATGAAAGCTGGATCATTTATTTCAACAGACTAATGTGTCTCATAACTAGATGTGGATCAGTCCAACAGTATCCAAACTGCTTCTGTGCTTCGAGCATATACCACAGCCAAACCAATTTTCTATGCTGAAAAGTCCTTTACTTGACTGTTTGATCATAGCATCTCTTCTGCCAAGTGACAGCCTTTTCCAGTACCTCGCATACAAACTCGCACACACTTATCACTTTTCATAAACTTGTGACATTGTAGTATCACTGAGTTAAGAGTTGGGCTGTACATTTACATCTACAGAGAGCATCATTTCCCACCAAAAATGAGAATGTTGGATAAACATCTAGTTTCTCTGTTCTGTTGTGCTGTATGACAAATGTTCACCTCAGTCTGTTTCACTGGTTAACAAACTATCAAACGTACACTATATAATGTGTATCGTCTATACTGTCAAATTACCGGACTTGGAATGATAAGGTGAAGTGCATACTTTCACTGCACTCAACACAGTGCACAATTCAGAAAATAACTGGCTACAAAAATTAATTACCTGGTCCATGTGCCGAACATGCTATTCATTGCTCTAACAACACATCAGCGACAGATTATGCTAAAGTGTCTACCGATGAATATGCCTAGGTCAATTTATTGAAGTAATTAATAATGATCAGCACATATTGATTACCTTGATCAGTCTTGGGGAGGGAAATAGCAATATCTAAGGCTATTCTCTGCCGAGGAGGACCTACAATTCCTTATTGGAGTTTACAGTGTCTATCCTGGTGTTAAACAAGAACTTCATTGCCCTACTGCATATCTTCTTGCACTTGTTACTGCTCATATAAGTTTTACAGGTTACATAAATCTGTGCCACAAGTTGAATAGAGCAAGGGGCACCTATGCTACATCTAAGTCCATCAGTGGTTCTTCTCAAAGTTCCAAAAACATTAATCGTGATACTAATCCATTAGTGGGATCTCCTAAACTATGGAGGGTCTTTACATTCAATGAATGGACAAAGCCTCGTCGTTCAGTGGGGTAGTCTACCTGTATTTCTGTGCTGTGTCCAAGCAATAATATATGATTAAATCACACTCTGGCCACTCTGTCATCCACTTTGCTATCAACCCTTTGGAGGTTTTAAAGGTCATGAGCCATTTTGACAATGCATGGTCCTCTCAAACAGTGAATTTTCTACCATACAAGTAGTTTCAGAAGTGTTTCACAACAACAATAACAACTGCCAGCAGTTCTTTCTTTGTTGTGCTATGTTTTGCATTCCAGAGTTGTGCAATCATTCATTCTATTGCTTCCTGCAACTGTGGTGACACTACTCCAATTCCACTATTTCTGGTGTTGGTATCCAGCAGAAATTTGCAATCCTGGCAGGGATATGTCAACACCGGGGCTTCTACCGAAACACATTTCAAGAACTTAAATGCTTGATCACACTTCTCGCTCCATTTAAAATGCATTTCAGCTTTAGTAAGAGCTGATAAAAGTGAGCATCTTACAGAAGTTAGTCACAACTCATCAGTAATATGATTTGAAAACAAGGAAATGGCAGACTTTTCATTTGGTCACAGGTTCATTTGGTCTTGCACCATTGCTATGTTAGCAGGATCAATGTAAATTCCATCTCTACCCACAATATGACTGAAATTTCACCTTCATTTACATGAGTGCACATTTTCTGGGCTTCAAGCCTGGTTTTTTTTTTAACCTGCTGGAATACCATTTTCAGGTTCTCAGCAACAGACTCGAACATGCAATCAAAAACTAAGACGTTGTTGGCATTGATCAAGTATCTCTTCTTTTAAATTTAAATTTCATTGGCCTTTTGAAAGAGGTTGGTATGCTATACAGGCCAAACAGCATGACGCAATATTCATACAAACCCTTTAGAATGCTGAAAGTAGCCTTCGATATGTTTTCATCATTGAGTTCATCTTTTCAGTACCCAGCCACCAGATCCAAGGTATTGAACCAACAGGCCTCTTTCAGTACATCCAAACATTTTCCATTTGCAGTTGAGGAAAGATATTAATGCGAGTTACAGTGTTCAACTGTCTGAAACCAATACAGAACCAGAGCATACCTTCTTTCTTCCTGACAATAACTACTGGGAATAACCAAGCACTCTCTGGGGCTGTATAATTCTATCCTTTAACATCCACTGTATTTCAGTGTTGGTTATGTCCCTATTACTACAGGTAAGTCTGTGTGATGGTTGTATTTTGACCCTATCTGTCATCTGGTTCTGTAACTGCAATAGCATACTTTGTCAAGAAGTCACTGAGTTGTTGCAACTGGGTTGAGTCTATATTGTGTGCACTATTCTCAACTAACAGTCTCACTTGCATTGGTATGCAAATGTTTACTTTCAGAAGTGGCATGACATCGATTACTTCCACTTATCCTGTGGTCCCTGCCAATGACCATTACAAGTTGCAGCTGGATAACTAACCATCCATGACTGCAGAACAACACTGGAATTTGAATTCTGAATATGAAACAACCTATTTCATGTATGGGCTCAATAACAATTCTACACAACATCTACACACTAGACATTGTTTGCAGTAAACCTTGAAACACCACTTGTGTACATGTTGGTATGATGATCTCCTCTCCCACATACATTTAGGATATCCTCTGTTTCATGGGTCCTTCTGGTCGCCAATAAATGATGCTCTTATTGTGGAGCATCAGTTCATCCTTTCCAAGAATGCCAATGTCAGAACCATGGTCAATGACAGCTACCTTCACTCTGTAAATGAACCCCTTAGGCATCACCATATATATATATATATATATTAAAACGTATTTGTGTCAAAACAAAAACGGTGTGAATCAATCTTGTTGGCAAATAGCGTAAATAAAATAAAATATCGGCACATTTCTAAACACTAAATCCAGGATACAGCTCAACTATTAAAAGTTAAATTATTTAACGCGGCTTTGGATTATTCCAAATTCTCAATACAAAACACAGAATGGACTCAAGATTTAATACACTGTAAACGCAATATTTATTGAAACTTAAACGAAAAACAAAACACGGTGTGTGTGTGTACTTGCCAACGATGGGCTATCATTCTTTTTTGGCAAGCTTGGGTGGGAATACGAACCAGAATAAATTAACGAGAGGTTTATATCTAAAGACAAACCTCCCATTTATCTAGCATGACTGCACAACCATATGAGTGGTCATTCTCATTCCGCATTGACGGGACCGAAATTACTATGTATTGTATGTACAACTAGTAAAAGACATTGCCCTTGACATCCTGAAACAAGATCGCATGTAGCAATGTTTTTCATGAGCAGTAACAGGATACAACTAACTTTGAAAATAACAAAAAGGAGGTAAAGTGAAATAAGATCAATTTAACGACTTTACTTGAGAGGTGTCATGTGAAAATCTGTATATATTCAGAACAAACAATAATAATTAATACAAGAGAAAGAAAACTTGTGAAATATTCCCATATAACACTTAAAGGTTAACTGTGGTTGACATATCATTCTTTTATATTGTTACGACAGCGGAAGTCATGTGACGCTGATAACATGTAATGAGTATCTAGAAGGATCGGGGAACATCACGAATAATCCAGTATTTGCTAAACGCCCTCTATTCCTGTATATAAGCAGGCAAATAAAGCGAGATAACTGATTGAATTGCAGACAGGCAGAGATAGAGACGGAAAATTGAGTCAAGCGCGGTAGTTACCGTAAGTAAAGCGCGTGAAGCGTTGTGTATAATAGTGTGTGTTAAGTTAAACTGACTTTGGAAATTAAGTGTATTGCAAAGTTGTATTGAG